ATTGATCATAATAGTTGGACATAAAACAAAAAGACAGTATTTGCAGTATATTTAAAAAGTGGTAAAATACTTTCTCAGCTCAAATGTCTATTTTCCTTTTCCAGTTTTTCTGGAATTGTTAATCCCTAATAAACACAATAAACACAATTCAATCTGCCACCGAACAATGAATGACAAAATACATGCAAAGTATTAGCTTTTCTCTGAAGAACACTCAGTGTTCTCTCACATCCTCACATGTAAGCACATTCTCCAACTCCTTACAGGATAAAAATGGGCAACATAAACATTGTGTTTTGGTAATCCTGAGATATTTATAAAGCCTAAGAATATTGTATACACATTTTGGCAAGGAGCTTTAAAAAGTTTTAACTGTATGCATAGTCACAGGGAATTTTCATAAGAGGACATTCTAAAGTCATTAGGTTGTGAAATTTTTTCTATCTGCTCTATTCCTCAACATTAAAAAAAAAATGTATTGTTCTTCTGGGGAGTCAAACTTGACTATCTTGGGATTAAAGGTGTAATATTAACCATGCAGTGTGAAAGTTTACATTTCTCAAAAATACCTCAAGCACCCTTTTGATATAAACACAACAAACATCCATTTTCTTGTGTGACATCACTATCACTGACTTATTAGAAGGTGACATTTAAGTTTACCATCAGCAATCATCTGAGCTGTCTGTGCCTAATATTGTATTTAAATGTGTTATAATAGTTTTTCAGGAAGAGCAAACCACAGATCCTTAACAGCATACTAAAAAGCCAAAGCATTAGATTCTTATTTCACTTGTAAAATGGTGTCAGTTGCGTACATCATAGTGTGCTTAGAAAGTTATTTACAAGAGGGGTCCCTGACTCCTGGGGCCATGAACCGTCAGGGGTCCATAGCCTGTTAGCAACTGAGCCACACAGCAGGAAGTGAGTGGTGAGCAAAGGAGTAAGCTTCACCTGTATTTTCAGCTGCTCCCCAGCACTAACATCACCACCTCAGCTCCACCTCAGATCATCAGGCATTAGAGTCTCATAGGAGCACCGGCCCCTGGTGCCAAAAAGGTTGGGGACCGCTGATGTACAATATATGACTCTTTGGTAACATATTCTGCATAAAAAACTGCTTGCTGTATGGGAGAAAATGAGTCTCCTTAAACTCACTGTTTTTCCTTTGCTAATAGTTTTGGCTTCTCTTTTAAAATAGTCAAAGGTTTCAACCAGTTGAATTGTTGCCACTGTCTTATTAAACTTTAATAAGCTAAGCTTTTTAAGCCACATAAAAATTTCATCATGCATTTCTCAACCTTAGGAAAAACGGAAGGAGGAAAAAAGGTCAGAACATCACTTTCCCTATGAGAAGAATGCTTTGGAAGCCTGCACGCAGTCAGCCACAAAGCAAATGCTAGGAAACAAACTGCCATTTGTGGCCTGTGCCAGATGGTGACTGCGCTGACTGCTGCATCACACACGGGCCCCACGCCCGGTGCTAATTAAAGCACTACCGTCAAACGGCAGGCTCCTGGGACAAACCATCTGCTTTTTTTCCAAAGTCCTTGAGATGCTACATTTGACCCATCATTACAAGGTTTTCTTGTCAAAAACACCAGTTCAGAGCAACTCCTGACAACTATACTTTTAGTGTTTTATAATGGCAATATATTTTTTAAAAATCTTTTTCTTAAAAAGGGGTACAGCATGCTACTTAGATATCTGAAGTTAATAACAGGAGGAACAGATGAGAATGCTGAGAGGGGGGACTTGGCTCTGGGACACAATGATTAGGAACAGGAAAAGAGTGGGCAAAGAACCAAACCTTGTGGTACTATTTCTTTTAAAAAATCAAGTTCATGTATTATATTGGCTAAAACTTTTAATTTCAAAAGGGCAACATCACTGAATAAAGAGAGTTGTTTAGAAAACACTTCATTCTAGGGGCCCTTCATTCTAGTGCCCTTCAAGCAGTGGAACAGCTTCGGCCGATATCTGTTTTCTTCAAACATCATTAGGTAGAATTTGCCAGGTGCTTTGATGATAAGTATACAAATGCTGTCGTTTTGTTAGTACCGATATGCCTCTGTATTCCTCCCTTTTGTTAGAACTTGATTTCATGTCTATTCATTTTGTCAAAAATCGTGTAAAACTGATGCATTCTATTTTAAGAGTATACATTTGATTTTTTACAGGTATATATAATAATCTTTTCTATGGAACTGGCATAGTTTTAGATCACTTAACACTTTCATCTAATGGTCCTTTATTGCTTTGATCACCTATGTCCAAGTCAAAAATCACGTGAGATGCTCCAGGGACTTGCAGTTCTGCCATGATGGAGTAGCCCCACTCCTCCTCAATCTTCCCCCTTATGCCTAAAACCCCTGGCCCTAACACAATGAACAGGCACAGGGAGTCTCTGAAAGGTGGAAAGAAGAGGTGGGCTGCCGAGGGTCCCTGAGACCTGAGGAACACAGGCTAGTGAATCCTTGGGCTCCTCAGGACCGCTCTCATTCCAGACAACGTGCTGTGGGACCCTCCAACCTGCAGCTGCTAACAGGAACAAAGGAAAAAGAGAGGCCTGCTTCTTCCAGCCAAAGTAAGGAAGAGCGTTTTTTTTTGTCCTACATACTTGAGCAAAATAATAAGCCTCAACCTAAACTCGCACTTTATATAAAAATTAATTCAAAATGAACCATGGACTTAAATGTGAAATGTAGAACTCTAATAAAACATTTAGGAAAAAAATGAAAATCCTTATGATCCAAGGCTAGGCAAAGAGTTTTTAGATTTGACAGCAAAAGCATGACTCAAAAAAGGAAAAATTGATAAACTAAAATCTCATCCAAATTAAAAATTTTTGCTCTTCTGGTAAGAGGTTGAAGAGACAAGATACAAACTGGGAGAAAATATCTGCAAATCACAAGTCCGATCTGGAATGCATAAAGAACTCTCAAAACTCAACATTAAAAAAAAGAAAGAAAGAAAAACAAGCCAAGTAGAAAATGGGTGAAAGACATGAATGGACATCTTACTGAAAAGGATTTACTAATGGCAAATAAGTGCATGGAAAAATGGCCAACATCAGTAGCCATTAGAGAAATGAAATTAAAACCACAAAAGAGATATTACCACACACCTATCAGAATGATGAAAATAAAACATAGTGACAACATCAGATGCTGTCAGGGATGCAAAGGAACTGGATCAGGGAAATGCCTCTAGTGGAAATGTAAAATGGGAGAGCCACTTGGGAAAAGAGTATGGCAACTTCTTACCAAATTAAATAGGTGCTTTCCATAATAAACCGAAATTGCACTCCTGAACATTTATCCTAGGGAAATGAAAAATCACGTTCACACAAAAACCTGTACATGAATGTTTAGTCACTTTATTTATAATGGCCCCAAACTGGAAACAAGTTGGTTAACCAAACGATAGTATATCCAAGACATGGAATACTACATACAGGACTGGTATTCCTGACAAACATGCATATAACCTACATGTAATTATGAAGGAACAGCAGACATCAAACCCGAATAAAAAACAACTGTACCTCTATAATGTCAATGTTCTGAGACAGACTGAGAGATGTGACAAGTGAATGCAACCTATAATCCAGGGTTTTCTTTGCTGTAAAGGACACTATTAAGACAATTTTACAAAACTCAGAAAGGGTTTATAGATCAGACAATACTACTGTTATAAGTGTTAGTTTTTTTGATTTTGTGAATTGACTGTGGTTATGTAAGACAATGTTCTTGCTTTTGGAAAGTACTCAATAAAGTATTTAAGGGTAAAGGGGCACCATATCTCAAACTTACTTTCAAATGGGTAAAAAAAAAAAAAAGTATATACACATAGAAAAGGAAATGTTAAAATGTTAACAGTTGGAGAATCTGGGTAAGGAAATACTTTATACTATTCTTCCAATTTTTCTGTAAGTCTGAAATTATAAATAAAAATTCTAAAAAAATTTAAAGGTATATAAGATACTACACAGAGCCTGGTATACATAAATATTCAACAAAGGATAGTTTTCAGATATTTGATACTGATTTTCAGATGAAGAAACAAGCTGAGAAGCTAAGTGAACTGTCAGGAGGAACCACGGCAAATTAATGGGAAGATTGGGATCTGAACTCAGATCCTTGTATATTCTGTACCAAAGTCTGTGCTCCTTTCACTAGAATGAGGAAGGATGAAAATTTCAACCCCCCATAGGGATCTGGGTGAATTCTGTTTAAGGAGAGGTTGGTATTATATAAAAATTGGCTTCAAATCACTCTCTAAGCAATTCACTTCTTAGTTTCCTACAAAAGAAGTCTAGGACTGTCACAGGACCTAACACCTCAAACCTGGCTCTTTCTTGTCTACAGCACATCAACCAAGACAAATAACAAACTGACCAAACCCTATCTGCAGGCCCTGTGCTTTAGGCAGCACCTAGTCTTTCCTGGGTCTTTACTCATTCTTCTAGAGTCCACTGAGCACTCAGACTTTGCTGGTCAGTGAAATTCTAGGATGGCTACCTAGGCACAGCTCTTCTATTGGTCCATCCCCACCTCACCAAGGGCTAAACTTAGACAGAATCATTTATTTTTAATTGATTTATTTTTTCTGAATAGATAATACATAGTTCAAAGATTATGTGAAACAAAAGAGTATATAATAAAAAGTCTCCCTCCGACTGACAACCAATCTTACCAGTTTAAAAATGCAACTTTGTGGTATTTCTTCAAGTTACTAGAATTAGCTAGACCACATTATGATATTAAGGTAATCATTTATCTAGAATATTCCAAGTGATCTCTGTTAATTTATAAATTTCCCCATGTAAGCATTTAAAATATCCTTAAAATATGTGCGTAGGTATGTTTTCAACATATTAAAATGACTGAAGGTTACAACTTTAAATGAAAAAAATATTTGCATTAAGTATGCTCACAGCAGATGTTTATGAACTCTATGTTTGGTAAGCATCAATCACTAGAGTGCTAGCAGCTCACCTGGTTCCTGTCGCGTGCGTTTGTGTACCTAATCTTCTGAATGAAGTAGAATATGAGCCATGCTGAAGAAATAATCATCAAAACAATAAAGGATATTGACACGAAGACTAGAGAGCCTCGGCTGAAGTTCTTTGGCGGCATTCGAGTCCCGACAGCTATTGTCATTTGTACAGAGATGTTTTTCTCCAGATAACTCAAAATATCCTTACCCCTCAATTCTGTAATCATGACAGCAATAATATCTCCAGTGCCTGTAATGCAAAATAAATAAATAAATATATATATTCAAGCAACATTTAAAATTTATAGGAACGTCAAATATATAAAAATACTACTTAGAAAAACTACTACAATATCTGCTAATGGCAAGGGTTTGCAAATTCAACTTTTCAAATGAAATGAAGTCACAGCTGGATGTGCTGGCACCAAGTGGGAACAGGAATTTGTTGTGTAGTATTTAAGATTTAAACAGATTTAAAGCATAAATGATTGCAGTGTTAAGAGCCATATTAACTTGTGCTACCACTACATTTAAAAAACAAATGATTAAATCAGCCAAATGTGACAACAGACGGTACAAAACATATTATACAGCAGTAAAAATGTGATAAAATAATGGCAGTAAAACTTTTTCCATTTTAAAATGTTCTTTAAAAAGTCCTAACTCTTTAAGTCATTTATAGTACAAAAATTGGTACTTTTTATACTAATCACTCTTAGAAACATTTATGGAGCACCTATTGTGTGTAGACCAATTACGACGAACAGAAAGAAAACAGGAAGCGCAGTTGTATACTAGCACTGAGAATCAGGACACAAATCTGATAACTGAGTTGCAACAGCAAAATGTCAAATGGCTTTTCTTAAGTCCAGCTGAAACTAACTTTGGTCCCATGTCTTCACCTGACTGAAGAAAGGTTCCTTACTAGTTCACCCCAGAACACTTCTGGAAATCAAACCCTTCCTGACACAAGTCCAAGCTTCAATAGTCTGGACTACTTTGGCATCGAAATACTCCCAGCTTCTAACAGCTGTCCAGAGGCTCTGCCACAGCCAGACAGTTGGAGTTAACTATAAGAATGTTCTGAAGATGCTCTTCTGGTTACCTAGTTCTCCCACTCACATAATTGCCAGAGGCTGTACTACATACAGTAAGGTAAGTGATCGCTTTCCCAGGGACAGCATGAAGTTGCGATTCCTTCTTCCTCCTCCCATTTTCTTAAGGAAAAAGAGAAACTGGGACAGATCACACACACACGACACATGACAACGGTCTGTGGTATAAGATACCAGGTATGGCTATAAAGTAACTGAGACGGATCCCACACACAACACATGACAATCAGTCTCATTGCTTTATAATCACACCAGGTACAAACACGGATTTAGAAATCAGTTCTGAGGCTCCCTCTTGAAGACTCAAGCTGGAAAAGGAGCAGGGAAGGCTGCACAGGTAGCCAAAGGAACCGACCCATGCAATGTTATTCATTCAAAGAATACTAAATGAGCACCACCTAATTTCAGTTGGAAAGCTGTTCGGGAAAAGCAGCATTTAATTAGTTCAACCATTCATTCAACAATTTTTATTGAGCACATACTATAACTAAGGCTTCTTAATATCTACATTTCGAAGAGAATGGAAATTACCTGCTGTGAAATAATTTTAAAAATATATATGTGTATATACTTATATACTATGGTCTCTGCCTCTGGTTCCTGGCACAGGGCTCTTAAAACCCTTGAGGTTTCCTAAGCGATAAGCATCAGGAGCATCTTTGTCTTTGACCTTGGTTCCTGACATAGAGTTACTAAATCCCATGGAATTTCCTGGGTGACAGACAGGAGCTCCTTTTATTCTAATGAGGCCTCCCTTGGTGGGCTCCTGGATGGCTTCAGGATGGATGCTGGTCACCAGTAAGACCGAGCCATGATGAGAAACTTGAACTTTCAGTCCCGTCCCCACCATACTCTGGGGAGGGGAGGACTGGAGACTGAGTCAATGATTGATCGTGCCTATGTGATGAAGCCTCCATAAAAATCCCCAAAGTATGGGGTTTGGAGAGTTTCGGGTTGGTGAACACATGGAGGTGTTAGGAGGGTGAGGTACCAGAGAGTGCTTTCCCTATACCTTGTCCATCTCGCTGTTTATCTGTATCCTTTATTATATCTTTTATAATAAATCAGTAATGTTTCCCCAAGTTCTGTGGGCCATTCTAACAAAATCTGGAACTCAAGGAGGGGGTTGTGGGACCCTGATTTGTAGTCAGTTGATCAGAAGTACAGGTGACTCGTGATTGGCTTCTGAATGGGGAGGGTGGACCTTGTGGAACTGAGCCCTTAATGTGTAGGAGCTGATGCTGTCTCCAGGCAGATAGTGTCAAAACTGAATTATAGGACACTCAGCTGGTGCTGCTGAGAATTGCTTGGTATGGGGAATCCCCCGCCCCATTTGGTGACCAGAAGCGTTAGAAGCAAGGTGCCTTGTGTGAGTGGTAGAGGAGACACACACAGTGCTGCTTTTTCCTTCACACCTGCTCCTGAATAGAAAACTGCATCTACCCTCAAAGGGCAAAGGAGACTCTTACAGGGACCAGAGAGAGAAGCCAGACACAGGCAGTTTCACTAGACCAGTACAAGGGAGACCAGGCTATGACAGGACAGGAGACTAAGACACTGTGGTCAAGCAAAATGAAAATATTTACAGCAGGTCATCAAAATACTAGCGAAGATTAGGTCGTATATCCCCCAAGAATCTGATAATGGGGCCCCTCCTGAAAGAAAAGCCCCTCCCAGTTCTGGTCACTTTGGGAGAAGTTCATGGACTGCCTCGTTCCTCACTCGTAAAGCCAATCTGGCCTCAAAGACCCCGCTTTAAGGATGTCCCAGACACCAGACTTTTAAAGATTTGCAAAGACTTGGCTCAGCTTCTGCAGGATATTAACAGCGGGGAAGATGTAGTGTCAAGACACAACTAGGGCTGGATTGAGTCGTTAAGGACTAATCAGACAGTAATGATGCAAACATTCAGGGCAAGAGGACACATATTTGGAACACCCGTCACCACTCTCACATCCTAAACCCTTGGCAAACACTACTCATAAATCATGGATATGCCTCAGCATCCCAATCCCTGCTTTCACCTATTTTCTTGAAAACTTTCTCCACTGTTATTCGTTAATGTGAATCTATGCTTCCACTGCTTGAGTCTGGCTACTTTCTCAATTCAATTCAATTCAATTCAATTCAATTCAATTCAATTCAATTCAGTTCCATTCCGTTCCGTTCCATTCCATTCCATTCATTTCAATTCTTTTTCCTTTTATTTTGAGAACTTTCAAACCCACAGAATTTCAATAATATATGAACATGTGTGCATTCTTAATTTAAGATTTGTCGACTGGCAACATTTTACCTTTTCTATACATATTTATTTTTGTTGAGCCAATTGAGAGTAAGTTGTAAACATCATGACGTTTCCTCCTTAAATACTTTGGCATTATCTCCTAAGACCAACGCCACAATTCATTTATCATACTCAAGAAAAAGGACTCCAGCACAACACCGCTCTGCAGTATACAGTCCACACTCACATATCTTGCCTGCTTCTAATAACAGCTTTCAGACTGTTCAGTTTAGTACCCAGCACCCAAACAAATTTTGTGGGCATTGTGCTTACTTAATCTCATTTTGTTGGTCTCCTCAGGTCTAAAGCAGGTCCTCAGTCACTTCTCGTCATTCACAACATACACTTTGTTTTGAAAATGTCCCTTACTCTGCATTTGTCTGATTGTTTCTTCGTGATTAGCACTCGGAAGTGAACATTTCTGGTAGGAAGGCTATGCGGGTGATGCTATTCTTCAAGTGTACCTTAGGAAGCTTGTGCCAGGTTTTACCTTTCCTGGTGATGGCACATTTTATCACTTGACTAATCTACTGTCTTCAGGGTTTCTCCACTGTAAACGAATGCTTCTCTCTTTTTAATAAGCCATGTGGGGGGGCGGATGCTCTCAGAATATCCAGTTCCCAAGTAAGTTTTCATTCAATGCACTCAGCACCCACTGATGCCGCCTGAATCAGATACTATAGCAGTATTTGCAAAATGGTGATTTTCTAATGCTATAACTCCTCCTACATCGGGTAAAGTGGCTCTGTAATCAGAGACTTTAACATATTTTTCTACCTTTTTTTTTCATAAAAAAATAGAACTGCTGGGTGGGCAATTTTTTCTGTAAAGATGAGCCCCCCCACTCCTGGCAATTCTATTTCTAATGGGGAAAAAAAAGATAAGTGGAAAAATATGGTAATGCTGCTATAATCCAGACTACAAAATCAAAAAGAACCTCAGAATTCACCTCCTTCGGATGCTGAGTCCGAAGGTCTAGGTTCAAACCCCAGCGTGATACCTAACCTCTCTGAACTTCAGTTTCTTCTTTCACGAAATGAGATATTACCTGCAGGACTCATGGGAGATGCTCAGGAAATGCTACAGCTTACTGAGCTAATCCTACTTGTGCTACTATTACTCACAGAGAGTACAGGAAGGCATCCCGGGGAGAAAACCAAAGAGCCTCCACCAAAGAATTCTAGAACTCTTATTCTCCCCCTGGTCCTCCAGCACTCAGGACCCTGCTACCAGCACAACTGGTCTGGCTTCCAGGAGGATTCGTGCCTCAGCTCAGGGAGACCCCCAGTGGGGGAGTATCGGAAATCTACCCCAGCCCAGCCTCCCCTGCCCTGGGAATAAATCTCAAGGAGAGCCCAGCTGATTCTTGAACCCCAGAAAGGCAGAGCCAAGAAGACAGCAAAGGACTTGTGTGAGGCACCAGGCTATAGTGGAGAGAGATGCTTTTCCTGTAAGCGGTTTTTACTTTTTTTTACTGTAAGCTTACCTGTTTTTTAAGAAAACAACATCCCTGTGAAAATCCCACTTAGTAGTGGTCTTATGCCTTAATAGATGAACTTGTCTGTTCAGTTCAAATTAACTGCTAAAGTTTTAAGGAATTTTAAAGCTCTCAGATAATCCTAGAAAACTTGCCATAAAGAGTTTGGGGGATGCTGCATTCCCACATTAAGGTGTCTGCAAGGATACCTTCGTAACTTCTGGTAGGTCACTATCAATGGCATCAGTTATTCCTAGAGAATTCAATGGCCTATTTATATGTAAAGCAGAACGTCACATACTTTAAATGAAAGAGATTAAAACTGCTCTAAAGTTCTAGAATGGCTGCTGCTGAGGGAACAGTTAGGTTTA